TCGTGCCGGGCCAGCACAACGCGGCCCATGGGTGGCCACGCAAAACACAAGCCATGCCGTGTTGGCCCGCGGGCCGTCACAGGCTGTGTCGCCCTCCCCGGTGGAAATTTTGGGAGTTAGCCTAGCATGGCCCACGACACAAGCCCGTGTTGTGCCGTGCCGTGCTGCGGGCCTAGACCGGGCCAACCTGTAGGCCATGCTGTGGGCTTGGGCCATGCTGGGCTAGGCCATAGGGCGAGCCTTGGGCCTGGGCCGAACCGGGCTAGACTGTTTTTTTTTTATTTCTTTTCTATGTAAAAGTGTAAAACTAAAATATTGAACTTTGCTTTGAACTTTGACCTTGAAAACTATTTAAAAAATTAAGAAATGAGAAATCTAAGTTATCTAACACATAAATGAAAAAAATACTTAATCAAATTAAAATAAGAACGATGAAATAACAAATTGGAAGAAAAATAGGAATTTTACTTCATTTAAATTTGAATGATACAAATTACAAATTCAATGATTGGATCATTGGATACTTGGATGAATGAAATATGAAAATGGAATAAATTAATAAAATATAAAACATACAATATAGTTACAAATTGAAAATACAAAATTACATTGTTAAAAAATTAAAAAAATCAAATAAATTAAATAAAATAAAAAAATTACATTAATTTGAAAAAAATAAAAAATTCTATATAACTGGTCAACTTCATGAATCATGACTTTCATCATCTACTTTAGGTGAAATATCTGGTTTAGTATCATGCTCTCCTTTGTCTTGTAATCTATCTTTTGCATCTAGCCAATCCTTGAAGCAAATGCACATCTCTATGCTTTCATCGTTCATGCAGCTTCTCTTGTCGTCCAACACCCTATTACTTGCACTAAAACAAGACTTCGATGAAACTGTAGACACCGGAGGGGTTGGTAGATCACGTGCCATGGCAGTGAGAAATGGATAATTTTTTGAATGTTCACTCCACTAGGCTAAAATCTCAAAATTATTTGGTCCTTCAACTGAGCTAGAAAAATTTGCTTGTAAATAAAAATTAAGTTCAATAAATGGACTTGTTGTATATGTAGCAAATTTATGCTTTCTACTTATTAAATAAAAAAGTTTTTCTCTTCTACTATTGGGCTCAAGGTCAGAAGTAGAAGATGATGTACAAGTTGTAGGAATATTTCCTACAACTTCATATTCATATAAACTGTACATTTCAAATAACAAATTATTATTTTCTTCTTTTTTATTTCCTATATCAATATTTATATTTTCATAATATGATTCAATTAAAATATCTAAACCATCTTTCCTTATCCTAGGGTCTAATATTATAGCGAAACAATAAAGGGGAGAAATGTTCTTCCAATATTTTTTATTTATTTTTCATTATTTCAACGATACATTGAAATTGTGGATTATTTCTACATTTTGCAAAACAATCACTAATTACCATTAATTGATAAGGTAAATTACAACTAGTTGGGCAATAAATTCTTGATAATTCATTAGTTGCATCATAAAAATGTTTTAGAAATTCTCTTATACACACTGTCATTTCTTAGTCTTCCTCAAATATCATATCATTAGGCATTTTTGAATTATAAAAATCAGTAAGAAATTGTTTATGAGAAATACAACTTTCTAACATAGCATAGTTAGAATTCTACCTATGTTTTACATCTAATATAAAATGTTTATATTTTAAACCATAATTTTGATATAAATATTTATCATGTTTTCTTGCCCATGAACTTTTAATATATATAATACAATTTCTACATTTAGAAATATGAGTAGAAATAATATTCAAGGCATCTTGAATACATAAATTTAAGATGTGACATGCACATCTAATATAAAATAATTTACCATTTAAACATGGTCTTAATTGAGATTTTGAAATATTTATTGTGGAATCATTATTGTTGGTATTAATAAAACTAATAGAAAATAATTTATTTTCTATTCCATAAGTATGAAAAGTATTTAAAATACTTGCAACAATAGTTGGGCTAGTATGTGGCCATTCAAGCCTAGTAAAATCTAAATTCTTTTATTCAAAAGCCAATTTTCATCAATGAAATGGTTGGTAACAGAAATATAACTTATATTAAATTTAGATGTCCAAACATCTAAAGCAATTGCAACTTTAGAATTAAGATTTGATAACAAAGAAATTAAATTTTGTTTATATGAATAAAAAATTTTTAAAGCATCCGACTTAATAATATTCCTAGAAACTTTTTTATATTGTGGGTTTACAGAATTATGCAACCATTTTTCAAGCTTTGGATCTTCAACTAATATAAATGGTTGTTTTGCATGTACAATATACTTAGCCAATTTGTTTCTCATTTTTTCTTATGAATATTTAAAAGCACCAAAACTACTCCCCCTCCCAATTTGTGTTTGAGTTGTTTCTCTCCCTTCACTTTCTTCCTTCTCATGTGTAAACAGATGTCTRCTCAAATGAACTGTATCACCCTTGCTACAATAACTAAAGTCTTTCCTACATTTTTGGCAAACTGTCCTTTTTCCTTTTCCCTCAATATCCTCTACTTTGAAAAATTTTCCAAACAGGGGTACTCAACTTAGAGACCCTCCTTTTTTCCCTAGTATCAGTACTGGGGGTGAAAGTTCCACTTCCATCGATATCAATCACATCAGCGCTAACACTATTATGATGCGATTGAATATCATCAATGGTGAACATGTTGGGAAATCGATTTTCGGAAAAGTCAGCCATTTTTTTTTTAATTCTAAAAAGATAAAAATTAATCTAATTCAACTTATCTAGATTGCCAGTTCAAAATCCCAACTTGATTTCAACGGTTGAAGCCTTTCAGCGTCAAAGCCTCCCAAATTAAGATATTTGAGTTGGTTAAGCAAGCCTTCTTCTTGTTGAAAGTTGAAACTCCAATAAARTTGAGACTTGAGAATTGGAGAATAGAGAATCAGACAATCAACTAATCAGAATTACTCAGATTGCAAATAATTGAGAATGTACGAGTATGAGAGAGAGAGAGAGAAGAGATTAAGACCATTGTTGAATTGGTGTGATGAGATTGGTGGAGGATAGGGCTATTTATAAGAATTAAACATAATTCAATTGTCCAAAATACTCAAAAAAACTAGCTATGTTATTTAGTTGTTAGGAAGGGTATTTTGGTCATTGTAAAGTTATTTATAACTTTATCCAAAAAGCCTCCCTAAACTAGTTGTCATATAGCTGTTGGGGGGCATTTATGTCATTTTTTCTCCCCTAGAAGCAAAATACATAAATACCCCCCCTAATATGGTTGTTTATAGCTGTTGGGGGGGTATTTCTATAACACCCCCCTCCCAAAAGCTAAAACTAGTTGGGGGGGAAGAGGGGCAACGGCTATATTTCGGACGGGCCATGCTGTGTTGTGTCGGCTTGTGGACCTCGAACCCCTGACCTAGCATGGTACAGACCTTTGTGTCGGGCTTGGCATGGCCCGTGGGCCATTGTGTCGGGCCAAGCCCGTCCAATTTTATGCCGGGCCTAACATGGCTCATGGGCCGTTGTGCTGTGCCAGGCCATGGGTGGCCCGACCCGATTTACACCTCCATTATCAATGCATAAATATATTCTTACCAAACACCACAAATTAAACTAAAATATATATTTACCACAAATTGAATTGTGACATTTTAAAGTTCGAGAACCAAAGTGACACTAGAGACAAAGTAAAGTACAAGATACTAATCGGGAATTTTCCAATTACATCTCATTTTAGATATAAATATGCTTTGAAAATTGTATTTTTTTGTCCTTATCAATGCATAAATATATTTCTTACCAAACACTACATATTGAACCAGAATACATATTTACACTGAACGTACATTTACACTCTATTTGCAACAGTAGGCTCAGTTTGGAAATAATATAAGTACAAATATATAAAGTGCAAACCTCCAAACTGAACCGTTAGTCTCGATCCGAAGGTCCAAATCTTAGGATTTCTTCTCCACTTGACCCAACCCCGACCCACCCTCCATCCAGATCCAACATCTAAGTGGCAAGTCGCAACGCAACCCCTATTTCTTTGGAAGGAATAAATGGTAAATGTTTGTTAGCGTGCAAGGCAAGCAGCCCAAGCTTCATAAAATTGGTGGGTTTTAAGTTTTATTTATATATACAACGAACGACCTTATACTTACAAGGAATAAAAGTAAACCAAAAAGTGGAGGTGTCTCCCAAGCGAATGGTTCCGATTGACTGGGAAGTGGGAAGTGAGCCAGGTTTGTGATCTGGGTAATTATCCAATACAACAGATACGTATTCTCAATTCTCAAACGAATATGGGCCCACACACAGAACAGAACCCTTGATAGGAGGGCCTTAGGCATTACTTACACGATAAATCATACCAGATAAAACGCAGAATTAAGAGTAAAGACTGTAAAGACGACCACACGGCCAAGTCAACCAAACGTGAACGACATCTTCTGATTGGTGGGCCACCACAGAACAGTTGAGTTGGATGGATAAGTTCATCCCATTAATGACTAATGAGGCAGAGGCTGATTAGTAGATGAAAGTAATGAGTAATGACAGAAGTCACAAATTGCTTTGAAAATAATTAAGGGAAAGGCAAGGGAGCTATTTGCAATAATTAATTCAGTTTATGCCTCATTGGTCATTACTCATTGCCTCCAACTAATTCCACACGTGACACGGCAAAGATTTCATATCCCATGAGGATATATGGGAGTCGACCCAAAATGACCATAAAACCCAAAACATGCCATGCTTCATTGGAGTCATTATTTTAGTTTGGGGGCATTGCAGTCATTTTGAATACATGTATGGATTTTGCCTGCCAGTGCGTGCCACTGCCAGCCCAGCCCAGCCCAGCCCAGCCCAAAAGAAAGAAACCTTTCTTTTGGCTTATATGAACCTTTTTGATGTGTTGTTGGTTAAATTAAGATTTAAGAGAGACAGTGGCTCCATCCAGTCTACTTATCCCAATTAAAAAATAGAAAGAAAGACAAAGGAAAAGGGCACAAGGCCACAAGCGGAAATCCTTTGGCTTGGCTGCCCACCCAAGCAACAGCAAGGAAAGCCCCTTAACCAAACTCATGCAACCAACCAGTTGAGAGTAGATGCAGTTTGGATTTGGAGGCAATGAAATGAATCTACAGTCTGTCTCTTTCTTAATTCTCAGTTTGCAGCAGTCAAAGCGCTATCTCTCATCTCCTGCACATCAGAAGAAGAAGACTTGATCCCATCCCATTTCTTACGGTTTCCATACTTCTCTGTTGGTAAGTTCTTGCGCAACTGAAACAAACCCCTCAAAATCTTCTGGCAAGATGGAGCAAAGCCCACAATCATTCCAAGGCGATGGCAGTGTCCGGTTGACGATTGCCAACTCGGGTTCTGGTTCAGGTTCCACCCTCTTCGAACCGCATGCAGAAGCTACCACCCCAGTTGGACTTGGAAGACCAGGGAGCAACAATTCCAGTTCTGCTTCTTCGACTAGCCTTGCGCCTGAAAAGAAGCTGACACTATTTGCCCTTCGCCTTGCAACTCTTGAAAAAGCGGCGAGTGGGGTGGGAACCCTAGCTTTCATCTGGGCAACTGTTGTTCTTCTGGGCGGTTTTTCCATCAAACTAGGCAAGATGGACTTCTGGTTCGTCACCACTATACTCTTAATCGAGGGAACCAGGATTTTCAGCCGAAGCCGTGAGCTTGAATGGCAACACCAGTCTACCTGGTGGATAGCAGATGCTGGGATATATAGCTTCAGGGCACTGAAATCCAGCTCCCACTTCCTTGTTCGAGCTGTAAAAGCGATTTTCCATCCAATTACCTCAATCGGGCTACAGAGCCACCACGACCGACAGGTGAAGGAGAGCTTCAACACGGCAAGGCCCAACAATCGGGTTGTGCAGAAGTTCCCATCACGGATATGGGCAACATCAGATGTTCCCTTGCTCCCCTATGCAGGATGGGTGTTTCTGTCGCGAAACATCAGTAAGCTACTCTATTGGCTTCAGCTTTTATCGGCCACGGCCTGCGTGACTCTTTCCCTGCTGAGGCTTATTCAGCAGGATTATGGTGACTTCAGCGATGATCCTGACAAGAAAAACCAGAAGTCTGCTCTGAATATTTTCTATGGGTTGGCATTGGCTGAAGCTCTGCTGTTTCTTACGGAGAAAGCATACTGGGAGTGGAAGGTCATCTACTGTAAGATTTTGGAAGAGGTGAACAGGGAGTGCGAGTTAGATAGTTCTGGAATGGTTTCGATCAAAAGGTTCTTTTATGATGCCTTCTCAAGATGTATTAACGGCAGCATCTTCGATGGGTTGAAAATGGATCTGGTTTCTTTCGCCACAGAGCTCTTGACCTCAGATTCCTTCGACGAGCAGCTCATGGGAGCTCGAATTCTTAAAACATTCTCAGTCAGTGCACAGTTCTCCAAAGACACGCTCCAGAAAATAGGTACATCTGTATCAGTGATAGAAAGACTTGTCGAGATGCTAAATTGGAAGGACCCACAAGAGGAAGAGATCAGGCGATTAGCTGCAGAGGTTGTGTCAGAACTGTCTGGGAAAAAGCAAAATTCTCTTCGTGTTACTGGAATTCCTGGTGCAGTGGAATCAATATCATCATTGCTTTATGTTGGCCGGAGTTCCAATGGTGCAGCCGGTGAGATATGCCTGAAAAATATCATATGTGACAGAGAAAATTACGAGTTTTCGGCCTTCAGTCAATTGGGTCTTCGTATTCTGAAGAAACTTGCTCGAGACCATGATAACTGTGGAAAGATAGGGAGCACAAGAGGCCTCTTACCAAAAATTATTGACTTCACACATGTTGAAGAGAGGCTGCTAAGGAACGAAAGTGTGACTGAATCTCAGGTACGAACAATCAAGCTATCCCTGCAAGTGGTGAAGATGCTTGCAAGCACCACAGGTACCACAGGGAAACTTCTCCGGCGGGAGATCTCAGAGATTGTTTTTACAGTTAGCAACATGAGAGATATTCTACAGTATGGCGACAAACACCCAGTGCTGCAAAAATTGGGAATAGAAATTTTAACTAGTTTGGCTTTAGAAGATGATGCAGCGGAGAGGATTGGAAGAACAGGTAGAATTATTAAGGAACTACTCCGTATCTTCTTTAAGCAAGAAATGCGAGAAAATGATAATCAAGTTAGGGTTTCAGCTGGAGAAGCACTTGCAATGCTAGCATTGGAGAGCAAGTATAACTGCTTTCGGATATTGAAATTCAACGTACTGTATAAGCTTATTGAGGCACTGGAGGAACCAGTGCTTTGCGTAAATTCAGCAAGAATTTTGAGGAACTTATGTGCCTATAGTGGACCAGAATGCTTTCTCCAAGTGAAAGGAATCACTACTGCTGCAGCCACTGTTAGTTCTCTGACATTAATTGCGAACTGAAACTAATGGTTTCGTCATCTCTTGAATCTCAAGCTGTAATAGAAGAAATTCTAACTTTCTTATCTTTTTCCATGCAGGCACTTAAGGGAATAAAGTCAGAAGACAACAAATTACAGGAAGTAATGATTGGACTTGCAGCACAAGTTTTTAGATTTATGAGTTCTGAAGAAGCAGCCATGGTGTTTGATCAAACTCACATTAGAAATGCAGATTTAGCAGAGAAACTTGTACAAACTCTGCAAACTTACGAGTATCCCCAGATCAAAGTTCCAAGAATAAGGAGGTTTGCAATTGAGTTGGCAATTTGTATGATGAAAGACAGCAAAGAGAACATTCATATTTTCAAGAAGCTTGGAATGGAAAAGGAGCTTCCGAATGTAACAGAGACAACATCAGAGCTTGAGAACTTCAATATTTTCTCAGGGACTGTAGGCTTAATCCGGCACAGAACAACAATCCATTCGCTTGTAGACACTGCACTAGAACTGTTGGCTGCTGTATAAATACCGGCTAAACAACATTGGATCCACAAACCCAACAGTACGTATATACATATGTATTTATATAATTAATAATTGTTTCAATTTTCCAGGACTGCATTATTTATTATTTACCAATGTTTTCATTTTTTTCTTTTATTTTGAACCATGAATTTGTAATAGTATTCAATGATTTCTTTTCTCCAAGAGAACAAATGTATGGATGAATTAAGGGTGTTTTTGCTTGCAAATCCAACTCTTTCTGGATGTAGGTTGCAGTTTTGGTGATGGGGTGTGGTAGGGGTGAAGGGATGCAAACTGTTAGCATCTAGCATGAGAAAACAGTCATCCAAGAATTTTTGTTTATTCTATGAAGAAGTAATTGTATTCCAAGAGAAAATAACACCCTACTCCACCTTAACACAGCTAGAGATCCCATATTTTTTTTTCGTTTTAAAGAAGATAACTATTTCTTTAGAGACAAAAAGATGTTCATGATAGGATGTGCACAACTTTACAAACAAAGCAATTACAGCCCCATTATCATCATCATCATCATCAACAGAAGCAGCAAAAAAAAAACCATAAAAAAAGAAAGAAAAAGAAATAGGAAGAAAATAATTACTGGTAAAATAAAATTAAAAAGAAATCTTCCACACACCTCCTTACTAAAAACATCAGCTTTAGTGTTTAGATCTGGAAATCCATTGTAGAACAGTTGGGAAGGATCTGAAGGTATCTTTGATCTCATTAAGATCGTGTACCAGCCCTTTTCTATTAAGTGGCAGAGTATATAAGGTTTCATGAGATTATTACCATTTAAATGGTCCATTGGGTTATATCAAGTGAAGAATTCTCAATATTCAGAACTAATGTCATTTTGAGAGGTTGACATATTGTTGCATCTTCCTCCACCTACTGAATTAGAATTATTGAGACATGGAATCCACCACTTGGGTTGGGTTGATCATCAGAGAGTTTGAAGATAATAAGAGGAAGAAGATGATGAGACATCCTCATGTTCACTTCTTTTTCCTGCAGCAAGAAATGATTAAATGTTTGTTATTTATGAGCTTCAGAATAAAGAGCAGTAGCAGTCTGGCTATAAAGAGGTTGTGTCTCATTGAAGCACCAATTTATCAAATGTGGACCATATAGGATGGGAAGAACTCTTTGATGGGACACTCACTAAAAGTTCTACCCACTTTAAACAAAGTTGAATTTGAAGGTTCTGTGATGCAAAGCAACCCAAAATAGGATGGGATCCAAGGAATTGAACCAAACTGGAAAGGCTTCATGGAAATTTTTGCAAGCACCAAAGAATGAATAAAGAGAAACAAGAGCATTCAAAAAAAAAAAAAAACATTCAAGGGATTGATTCATAACTTGAAATGTGGCAGAGGAGGTTAAGAACAGCAGGACCCATCATTGGATGGATTCCACATATGAGAAGTCTTACACCAAAAAATCAGCATGATAAGATATGTTTAGAGCATCTGAACTATGTATTATTTTAACAATTTTAAAAAAGAATTAAAATGGAATTCTTTATCACTGTCAAGATGCTTCAAAATACATATTTAACATAAGAAATAATGTTGATTTTTCCCAGATAATCTTTGAAGTGGGAACCGTTGAATGGTGGGTCCTGATCATTTTAATTTAGAAAATATTCATAAAAACAAATCACAAATCAGTCTGATTTAGAAAAGATGGCAAGTTATGGAACCCTAGAGTAATGGGTCCTGTGTCCCCAGACCCAGGCTCGTACCAAAATTTAAAAAGTAGAGTCTCAATGCCCTAACCCAAACTCTGMATTGGAGGCTCACCTACCAACTTAAGGAGATGAAGATAGTCTTATTCTTACACGTAAATAGGCATATTTTAATTAATGAATTGATCCTTATTGCTGATAAAAAAAACAAAAGGTAAACATTTGTCAAAAAAAAAGGTAAACAGGTTGCAAGCAAGCTTCAACATTAAGATTAGAAAACTAGGGTTAATTGAGTTAGCTATATGCACAAGGAAAAAGTTATGGTACTTTAGGAGTACTATACTTATGTTACACCAAGGATCAAAATATTGATTCTAACCGATACCCGTTGGGTATTGTTGTATCAATACAGACCGATACTCAGCCTTTTTTTTTTAATTTTAACAGACTGAGAGGGATCAGGGAAGCCTTCCAAACTATGAAAGCCCTCATACCCCTTTCTATCGGTGTATCTGTAGAGAACACTGATGTGGGCCCCACAGCTGTGGTCCCACTCTGTCCGTAGGGTAGAATGTGCCCTAGTCATCCTAGGGTTAGCTGATGGTCAATCTGTTATTCCAGTTGTTATTTATATTTCAGTTTTATATTGTTTTATGTGTTATGTAAATACCAAGGGCAGATTTGTCCTTTCATGTAACTAGCATAACCTATAAATACTAAATAGAAGTGGTGGGGCAGAATATTTAGATTCTGTCATTCCTTTCAATTCTTGTGTTCTACTGCTCTCTCTCTACTCTTTCTCCTCTCTCCTCTATACCTTTTTCTCCTTTTTCGAACCTGAAATCTATTAGGGTTCAAGGCTAATAGCAGTCTTGAACATCTACTGTATCCATGGGTCTCCATGACCTTGGATACAGGCATATCGTATCGACATTTTGATCTTTGTGTTACACTAGAAAATTTGTGCTTTTAAACTTAAAATTATATATACATATATGCACACATCCATGGATGCGTAGTTAAACACATAAATACTTGTAAACATAAAAATGTACATATTTATCTAATGTTTATATATAAATATTTTTTTGAAACAAATATTAATATATATACAAATATGAAGACTTGTCAATATTGGATTGGGTCAGGTTCCCCAAGCCTCAACCCTAACTCAACTCGAAGCTAATTCAGGTTCATATTTTTCAACCCTAACCCTAATCTGAACTTCAATTGACCCAGCCAAACCCAACTTTTTCTGGTGTGATTCAGGCTAACCTGGACAAAGATGCACCTCTACCCAGAATTGTAAGCAAGTGACTGAAGCCCAGCAAGACTGCACCCATCTGACCAAAAGACAAACATTCTGCCTGAGAAAAATGTGGACAATAATTACAGATAAGTAAATGAGGTGGAAAATTAAGAACTACCAACTCATCAGTACTTGAACTAGAAGCCTAAATCCCCTTTAAAATTTGGTCAACTACCTATACTGCCTAGTGGCACAAAAGGAACCTGAACAATTTCAAGAAAAAAAAAATGGAAGATGAGTTCAAAGGAATATTAGATATATAAACAAAAACATCACAATTTTCACTTCTAAAAGTATTTTACATCTAACCTGGTTTAAATTTTGTGGTTTCCCTTCAGCTAAAAGAATCAGTGATAGAAGAAAAAGCATAACAGGGTGCAAACAAAAGCACAAGCGAGTCATGTCAAACTTGGGAAGCTAGACATGTGGGTGGCAATCCTAAACATGTCGAACCAGTTACACCACAGACCAATAGATACACTGCACTGGCATATCAGGCTATCAGAGATGCCAGTCTTGTTGGAGAACTAGATTAAACTGGTTGAGGCAACCAGGTTACAAATAACTGATGTCCTACAAGCCTCTTGTGAGTTGTGACCAGTTTATTTGTGATTATTTCTTATGCTCAAGATATTTTTTAAGAAATAATTCAAACAAGTGGCAAACACTTATATTACAACCATTAAGAAGCATGTTCCTTATAATCAAATGTGCCATAGTAATACTACTACATTTATGGTACCAGATTGATGAGGCACAACTGTTTTGAATTTATCACTGTAACAGTTTTGAAAATTACGGTATTGACCTGACCCACCTATTCTGGGTTTTACACAAAGCTTCATGCTGGTAAACCAACCTATCTAAGATCTGGATCCACTTTGAATTGCACATCCTCCAGTCGACCCTAAACCTGTTTCTAGAAAAGAACTCCAGGCTAACCCAGGTTACCGAACTGAACACAATATCAATCTGGTTTTGATTTGTTTTGCTTTGTACAACTCCCAAGTCAGTTAAGCTCTGATGACGACCAGGTAAAACCATGATTGCCACAATAATGTTTAATGTAATGCATTCAGACAATCCAATAGAGTGATTAATCAAAATATACAAAACTTCTTTTTTTTTTTTTTTGGGAAAAGGTAATGTATTATATTAAACTGAACAAAATATACAAAGTTCTGATCAAAAAGGATTTGCACAGGGGAAAACATTTTGAAGCTGATTACACTGAAAGATCTAGATACAATTATACAAAAAGATTCGTGATATCAAAAAAGAACTGAAAGGTATATCCTCTAGCTGTCTACTGTGTTGTGTTTATATTCAAAAGGTCTCCTACTTCTCTGTCCATAATGACCAAATCACTGCTGCCAGAATTACTCCCTAGAGGACTTTTCCTTTATTGGACAAACCATTAAACTGCCAGCACCACAACAGGGATTTCAAATCTTTTGGAAAGCAGAAACTGACTTCAAATACCAAAACTTTCACCCAAACCATTCTCACGAGCTTGCAATGGATTAAGCATTTTGCAACATGAAACTGGCAATGCACTTTCAGGTGAATAACCATCAGAAAGAAAGGATCAATTTAGCCCTTTAACAACTTGATGCTGATTTCAGGGATTTAGAAATTCATTTTGAGCAACTGGACAGTCATGTGTGTAACACTAAAAATTATAGACACAATGTTTTGCAACCTCCCACAGACAATTAACTGAAAGTGTTATGTTTGTAACACCAAAATCTATAGACATTAGCAAAACTACACTGACCTCCATCCTACTCGTAGGCCTTCTGGAATGAAGCTGTCTGATGGCATATTCTCTGCTGCTTGGCACTAGTTTTGCAACATACAATGAACAAATAAGAGAATGAAAAAAGCTTTCAGATAAAGGTACATTAGAAAACAGAATTTAAACAACAAATATGTAAGGCTTCTAACTCATACCTCCAGATGATTCTGCAAGATTATGATTTGTATATCCTATTCTATTCACTGCACTCCAACTACTCTGTACATCAAATCATCCATCACAATTATGATTAGCAACTCAATATCTCGAAGTTCCAATAAAATGAAAAACATCCAACTTTTCCAAGTTGGTTTGGGCTAACCCAGTCATGTTGCACCCCTACCTTCAACTTCGAAAACAAACTTGGAAGGTTAAAATATGTATGTGTCGGGACTCAAGGAGATTGCATTGAGAGGAAGCCCAGGCAGGCTGCAGCTAACTGACCGACCTAGTTACCATAAGAACATGATTAATTGATGGAATAAATAAACTTTGATAGTTTGATTTCACTACGAAGGTTAGTCAACCCAAATGAACCCAGCTCAATTGAGCCTTGGGGTGAGGACTTGATTGAGCAGGGAGGCTATGAGACAAGCAAGACTGGGCAGAGCAACGAGAGGGGCGAGTTTAGCCTTGAGGGTGTTGGGCAGGGCAAGAGATTAGAGGAAATGAAGTGAAACATAACTCACGCATGAACAACACATTATACTAATGGAAGCAAATGCTGGGCAAAAAACAGCTACGATGCTGAAATTAGAGCCTTCAGGCAGCTACTTCTTTAAAAATATAAAGCAAGTTCTAGTTCAGTCTGACTCGATGCAGCTCATTAACCTTACAACCAGCAATGGCGATCCACGTACATGGATGATGGATAGAGCAAGTTCACCGGCATCAACTTCAGACCCTACTGAAATATTTTGATAGTATAATTTATATACATGTATATAGACAGTACAACCAAGTGGCTCATCTTTTTGCGCATTTAGTGTGTAAAGCTCAAATGAAGATATCTTATAATGGGCTTTCAGAACAAGCTGTATCGTTTTGTATTACATAACGAATGTAGCTGCTATTTTGTGAAAAAAAAAAACATATTATACATTACAAGCCTTGTCACTTTCTTTTCTATGCTCCAACATCAATAATACATATTCTCACAGCTTTTCATCATCAGCTACTTCTAAAAAAATTGAGACCCCAACGTTGCATCAACCCATCCATGACATGGTTGGTTTGACTCTTCTCTACTGTCAAAGTGGCCCGTGTTCCCCCTTCCATGTCTGCTGCATCTTGTGCTGACCTGTCACTGCCTGACAAGCCCTTAACACTAGAAGTAATGTCACGACAGGCTGAAGCCCCAGCACTTCCTGTCTCTATAGAAGATAGATGTGTCTCAAATGTTGGCCTAGAAGAAGATTCACTCGCATCAGGTGGTGAATGCCCACATTCTGTACCACGGCTATCTGTAGCTGAGATGGAACTGTCGTCCATCCTCAAGAGCCCACAGTTGTTTGAGGTGGAAGAAGCTTCTAGGTCGTCTTTCTGTGAACATTCAGGTGAACTGGTGCTCATGTTTGGTGTTTGTTCTTCAGTAGGTTGTTTGACCTCCATGTCCTTCAAAGACTCTACGATTGCTTCCATGAACATCTGTAGGTTTAGGCATTCAGGTCAATAGAAATGAGATCCCTTAACGCATTTGCAGACATGCATTAAGATACAAAAAGATAAAAACTCCATAAACTTTACTACACAACAATCAAGTACTGAGATGGTTACTTTATTAGCTAATAACTTCTGAATCATTAAATGAATAAGTATAAAACCACACAACAGATGGTGCTAATTATCCAATTGTGTCAATTTGGGATTTGGAAATCTTATAAGATATGGTCCATCTAGGACAAAGGCATGAGATAAACAAAAAGCCTAGAAAAGGAAGGAGAGTGATTTGGGCACATCCCATTTTTGATAAAGGAGCATCTCCTAATCATTATTTAAGTACATAAATTAAAAAGCAAAACTGCCCCTATATTTTGACTATTGTCATAACCAGGGATGTGCCTGGTTTATCAAAATGGGATGCACGCATATCAGTCCCCAAAGGAAAACCACACTTTCAAAATAACCCACCCTTTCTTCATCTTCTGTACTGCATGGATAGTCTGCTAAGTTACCAAGTGTGTACTCCGCATATTCATCATCATCTATCAAGGATGGAGCATGTGATCTGTGGGGATGACCATCAGAGAGTTTGAAGCCAATCAGAGAAGAAGGTGATGAGACATCCTCGTGTTCACTTTCTTTTTTCTGCAACAAGAAATGATTAAATGTTTGTTATTTACGAATTTCAAAACAAAGAGCAGTAGCTATCTGGCTATAGAGAGGTTGTGGCTCATTGAAGCACCCATTCATCTAATGTGGACTATATAGGATGGGAAGCACTCTTTGATGGGACACTCACCAGAAGTTCTACACACTTCAAACAATCTTGAATTTGAAGATGTTGTGATGCTAAGCAACCCAAAATAGGATGGGAACCAATGAATTGAACCAAACTGATAAGGCTTCAAGGGAAATTTTTGCAGGCACAGAACGAAAGAATAAAGGTAAACAAGAGCAGCTAGAATATATATATATATATATATTGAAGGGATTGGTTCATACTTGAAAGGAGAAAGAAAATAAAGAGAAACAAGAGCAACCAAAAAAAAATATATTGAAGGGATCGGTTCATACTCAAAATGTGGCAGAGGTTAAGAACAGGATGGCAGGATGCATCATTGTAYGAGTCCGACATAAGAGAATGATTACACCAAAAACTCAGCATCATCAGATGTCCCTAGACCATCTGGTCAATGTATTATTTTAAGAATTTTAAAAGAGTTAAAATTGAGTTCTTTATCACTGTCCAAATACTTCAAAATGCATATTTAATATAAGAATAAAGTTGATTTTTCCCAGATAATCTTTGAAGTGGGAACTATCGAATGATGGTCCTAAGCATTTTAATTTGGAAAATATTCATATAAACAAATCATTATAATTTAGAAAAGATGGCAAGTTATGGAACCCCAGAGTACTGGGTCCTGTGTCCCCAGACCTAAGCTTGTACCAAATTTTAAAATTTAGGGTCTCAATKCCCTACCCAAACTCTGAATTGGAGGCTCACCCAAGGTTTTAAAAGGCTAAAGGTGTAGTTGAGGCATAATGGCCCAAAAAGGTGAGGCGTAAGCCTCAAGGTTTAAGGAAAAATTAATTAAAGTTTGTAAATTGATGAAAATGACATATAATATGCCAAATTAAAATGATAGAAAGTACACATATCCATAACTAGAGGTTTATAAGCAATAAGTTTTGGCATTTAAGCATTAAATAAAATAATAACTAATCAACTAACAATTATAAACATTTTACATTTCATGTGAAAAACCAATTTAAAAGAAATGAAACAACTTAATTGATTTGATCTATGATAACACTAATAGTAATATGGATTAGTTAATAATAATAATATTAAAAAGAAAAATGACCCATTATAAACATTTTACATTTCATGTGAAAAACCAATTTAAAAGAAATGAAACAACTTAATTGATTTGATCTATGATAACAATAATAGTAATATGGATTAGTTAATAATAATAATTATTATTATTTTATTATTATTATTATTAAAAAGAAAAATGATCCATTAGTAGAAGAGATGAGAAAAATAACAAACTTAGGACATTACATTTAGAATAATAAGAAAAACCTCACTTGATTTATCCAAAAAAAAAAAACTAATAACTTGATTAGTCCTGTTTGCATTTAACTCTCTTAAAACACTAAGAAAAACAAATAGCATTTGATTTGACTTATTGGTTTTTATAATTTTTTATTTGTCCTATATCACTAAGTAATCATTGATAATTGAAGCTTACGCCTCATTGTGAGGCTTAAGCCTTGAGGCAAAATCTGTGCACCTCGCCTCAAGGCTTAAGCCTTTTAAAACAATGGGCTCACCTACCAAATGAAGGAGATGAAGATAGTCTTATTCTTACAAGTATACAGGTTGCAAGCAAGCTTCAACATTTACAATTAGAAAATTAAGGGTAATTGACTTAGCTAACATGTACAAGGAAAAAGTTCTGGTGCTTTAGGAGTACTATACTTAGGTTACACTAAGGATCAAAATATCAATACAAACTGATACTCGACCCTTTCTTTTTATTTTTTATTTTAACAGACTTAGAGGGATCAAGGCAGCCTTCCCAAACTTTGAAAACCCCCATACCCCTTTGGTATTGTTGTATCCTTGGGTCTCCATGACCTTGGATACAGGCATATCATGTCAAGACTGTTGGAACAGACCAACAGAAGGCAGTTAGTTAGTTTTACAAGAGGAGGCCACATCAGCTCAACTA